TTCTGAGAACAAACAATGACTATTTGCTTAATCATTACATGATTGTCAGGAAATTCTCAAGTGTTCAGTAGGGAGTCAAGATATATTCCAAGTAACTTTCAAGCTTCCTTGGACTTGGGGCTCTCACTCACTAAGACATTTTGAAGTTGTGTCTCAGCAACCCGCAACTATGTGAGTTCATGGGCTGGTGGTGAATGACTCCCTTATCTTCCTATCCCTGCATCCAGCCCAGCACATCCCTGAGTTCTGTGGGTTTTACTTCAGAACTGTGTCTCCTATCCATGGTTTTCTAGTTCCTCTGCCAATGCCCTTGTCCAGGTTCTTACCATGTCTCGCCTGCATTATCAACAGCCTCTTAAAACAGTCTCCCTGACTCCAGTCTCATTCCTCTCCCTACCTGTCTTCCACTCTAATGCCAACATTCCTGATTATGGTGCTCTTCTGCTTAACAACCTGAGTGCAACTGCCATTGCTCACAAGATCAATTCAGAAGGGCTGGGAAAGCAAATGTGCCCTGCCCCATAAGGGACCCTTTGCTTCTCAAGCTTCACCTCCTGTTACTCTGTTCTATACACTCTCTACTCCATGGCTTCTCACAGGTTTGTGGACACACCATGCGCTTTCAAGGCACTATGCTCTTCTTTCAACCTGGGATGTGATGCTTTCCCCTTCTCCATCTGGAGAATGACTCTGCTGTAGACTGAATGCTTGTGTTTTCCAAAATTCACATGCTGAAATCCTAATCCCCAAAGTGGAAAGGGAGGCGATTAGGTCACAAGGGCAGGGCTCTTATGAATGGGACTAATGTTCTTATAAAAGGAAGCTGAGAGCTCCCTCATCCCTTCTGCCATGTGAGGATGCAGTGAGAAGATGGCCATCTGAGAACCAAGAAGTGGGTCCTTACCAGACACTAATTCTGCTAGTGCCTGGATCTTGGACTTTACAGTCTCCAGAATTGTGAGAAATAAATATCTGTTGTTTATAAGCCACTCAGTCGATGATATTCTGTGATAGCAACCCAAGCTGACCAAGACTCCTAGTCATTGGAAGACCTTTCCAGATGTCACACTGGGGAATCCTTCACTTCATGACACTCCAATAGTATCTGTATACATCTCTTTTGAGTGACTCTTATGAAATCACATTATAATGAAAATTCATTGGTTTTGATCCTATCTCCTAAGCTAGAATATGAGTCTTTGCATCCTTGGCACTTAGTGCAGCACTGGAAAAACATTTATGACTAATAATGACAAACACTTAATGAATTCTTATCTGTGCCAGGCATTGCACTAAGTACTTTCATGTCTAAATTTTGCAGGAGAGAAAACAGTCTCAGAGAGGTTAAAGAAACGTCTAAGGACCTCATGCAAATAAGTGGTAGAACCAGTTTTTGAGCTCCAGTTTATGAAATTTGTTTTCTTAGTACTAGTTATCAGTATATCTTGAGTATTAATAAATACTGATAACTAGTTGTTGATATTCAATTAGTATTCATTGAACAAATGAATGAATGCATGAACAAAATCAGTTGTTTGAACATTTGAAGAGTATATCTTCAAGTAGCTGACTGTGACTGTGCCCTTGGTTCAGAAAAGGGAGAGGAGACTTCTAGGTAGAGGTGACAGAACATGGAAAGCCTGAGGATCTGGGCATAGAGGCTTAGAGAAGTGCATATCAGAGTCAGGCTTTGAGCTAGCATAGGTTTCTAGTGCAGGGACTTGGAAGGCTGCCTTCTGGATTACAGCAACCCCCTCTCCAGGAAAACTCCAACACAAAGATATTTCTAGTCTGGGGTAGGTTTAAGGAGTCAAGAGGGAGCTCCATTTTCTCTGGGGAAGATCACTCCTCCCAGGCTTCCATCCTCCCCTTCTGGCAGCCGAGATGCCCAGAGCTCTGGATCATTTTCTAGCCTCCATGCTACCTTGAGTGGAAATGAAGAGGGTGTTCTAGAATTCTTTGTACTCCTGGCAAGAGCCTGTTTCTCCTTGAACACTCACAGCTTCCCTAGTTCATGCTCCAGGGCTGTCAGGATCCATCTCCCTGTGCCCTTTATTGCTGTTTACCCCAGCTTATACACAAAGCGCTGCTTCCCAGGACTGCTCACCTGGATCACCTTCCCATGAAGTTCTGCATGGCCCCTTCCATGAACTCATTGCTTACTGTTCCCTGTCTCCTCAAACCCTTCCACTGTCACTCTGGGACACATGGTTAGCCATCAGCAAAATCTTTTCTTTCCTCAACTAAATTTGAATGTTCTCTTCACCTTCTTTCATCATCATCAAAATGATGAGGACATCATTTTCCCTGTAGCCCTGACCTACTATCCTGATTGGCTAATAGGCCTAGACATGCTCTCTCGTGACCCCTCTTCTCATTAAAAATGAAGTTTTAAATCATCCCCGTAATAATTGTCTGCTGACCTCACTCTTCTGACACCTTGAAGACTTTAGCTCCGGCACCACTGGTATGCTTTCCAAAATTGTTCCTGTTCCAATTTTTGATGATTTCCATATCTGTATAGATAATTCAGGGCCCTCTGATGACCTCGCCCATCACCTTACCTCAGCAAAGAATCCCCATAGTCAAACCCTAGAACAGCACTGCTCGGTAGAACCTTCTGTGACAATGGAAATGGTCTTTACTTCCACTGTCCAATAGAGATAGAGTAGCCACTAGACACACGCAGCCATTGAATACCTGAAATGTGGCTAGTTCAGTTGAGAACTGGAGTTTTAACTAAAGAAAGTTAATTTTAATAAAATTTAAATAGCCTCAGGTGGATCGTGGCTGCCATAACGAATGGTGCAGCCTGGATCATGGAATGACTGCTAATTCTATCACTTTTACAATCCCAGTTTCAAGAATCCCATTCTCTGTCAGCTTCTAACTTTCCAGTTTAATTCTTCCAGTTCCCTGACCTTGATGTTTGCTTGACTTTACTGGAACCTGCCAGTCAATGATTCTGTTATATATTCATCATCCCTTATTTTGTTTAAGCCCTCAGGTCTTTTTAAAATGTAGCCTTAATTCCATGATTCTTCATTATAAATGACTTCCTTGCATGCAGCCTCAACACATTTCCCCCCATCTCACTTCATTGTGGGTGCCTGGCCAAACCTCAGCCCTTGTTAAATCCAGTTCTTCTCTCTCTTCCCATCTCCAGACTTGAAAGTGAACATGGCTGGAGAAAAACAAAGGGATGTTGACATATCACAAAGGTGGACTCAAGGCTGCCCAACAAGCACACATTTCCATAGTTGTTCCCTCTTCTAGACAGCTATTTCAAACCTTATCTTCTCTTACAATACTTTTAATAACCTTCCTCTCCTCTCCCTCAATGGATAAACTAGATTCCTCTTTCAGGGAAAAATCTCAAAGAATAGAGGAGACTTTCAGGTGCTCCCACCACTTTATCCATCAGCTTACTCATATTTAGACACATAGGCTTTGCTTTCTCTCACATGATAATGGTCAAACTCTCCATGCTCCTCTTCTGGGCTGGCCTCTCCTCTTGTGTGCTATATCTTATCCTTTTCCAATTGTCAAAAGCATCACTGGCAATTCTGTCTTCTTCAAACAATCCTCAATGGATCTTTCTCCTCAGCATACAGACATGCTACAATTTCTCCTCCTCAGGGCTTTGTATTTGCTGTTCCCTTTACCTGTCATGCTGTTCCAGGAAATAGCCACATAGCTTGTCTCTTCACTTCCTTTGAGTCTCTGTATCAATATCACCTCCTGACTATGCTGTTTAAAACTGCAAAATTTCCCTCCTCCCTATCCCATTTCATTTTTCTTCATAGGCGCTTCCAACGTCTGACAATCTATATACTCTGTTTTAAATATTCATTTGATCCTCAAAGGAAGGGGTCTTTCATTTTCGTTCTTGTTGCTGTACCCCCAGCACTTAGAATACTGTCTGGCACATAATAGGCCCTCAATGAATGTTTGTTGAAAGAACCATTCAGTGATTTCCCTTTTCTGATATTCCTAATGGTATACTGCAGTAGTGTGATTTTTCCAAAGGAACAGCTATTCCGAATGACATTACTACCCATTGCTCTTATTCAGAAGTTCTTAGTGCAATGTTCCTCACACTTCAATGTACATTTGAATCACCTAGGGATTTTGTTATAGGCAGATGATGATTTAGCAGGGCTGGGGTGGGGCCTGAGATTCTGCATTTCTGACAGGCTCCCAGGTGATTCAGATGCTGTTGATTCAGAATGCATTTTGAATAGCAAGTCTGCTTTGGTCATCTTAAGCCTAATTCGTCTTCTCCTTTTCTATTTTTTTAATAGAGTGAGAATAAATATTTACATAGAACATTTACATATTTACCATGTAAACATGACCCTGAGTTCAAGTAATAGTGTGGTAAGTGCTTCTATAGCTGCAGGTTACAACATTTGCATGGAGCGCCTCATCCATCACTGGATGTGCCATGGAGGAACTGTTGTCTAGTTAGGCTGTTAAATGATGACTGTCCATTTGTTCTGGGCAGAATTAGGTTTTCTGTGCATGTGTGTATATGTGTGTAAGAATATGATTATTGATGCTAATAAGTTTCCTAGCAATTGCCTGATGCTATTAGCCATGTTTTGGCATGAAATCAATGCAAAGGCAAGTTTTGCTTTTCTATTCAGACTATTGTTATATCACTCGGCTTTTGTCTAGAGAACAGTATGGAGTGTTTCCTATGATCATCACAGTCATCAATTTGTTTAAAAATTGTAGTCAGGGCGTCCCTGTAGAGTTTGTTTGGTTTGTGTGTGCCACAAAGGAGTCCAGTTGGGATGACAAATTAAGACCTCAAACTAGCGAGCACCCTTTTGCCAAGACAAGTGCTCTGGTTGGGGTTGAATTGCCTTTTTCATTTAGCAAACTGAATAAAAGTGCCTGATGTTCGATGGCCTTGATCATAAAGCTAGAAAGAGCTACAAAGGAAAATAGAGAGCTCTGAACACAATATTTTCATTTTAGGGATGTTAAGGCACTGAGGGCCACAGCACTTGTTCTCATCAACATCATCATCAGCATCAGCATCATTGTCACCATAACCAGCATCATCGGCATCAGCGTAATCAGCATCACCACCCTCATCACCATCAGTAGCATCAATATCACCATCATCAGCATCACCATTATCATCAGCAGCAGCATCAATATCGCTATCAGCAGCAGCATCAGCATCAGCAGCAGCATCAGCACCATCAGCATCATCAGCACCATCAGCAGCATCAGCAACATCAGCATCATCGTCATCAGCATCATCAGCAGCATCACCACCATTATCAGCAGCAGCATCACCACCTAACATTTTTTGAGGGCTTCAGATGCACAAGGCACTGGGCTGATCGCTTTACATGCATTGTCTCATTTGTTCCCAAAAATGACAGCCCCCAAAGTTAACTATTATTATTGCTAATATCCTCATTTACAGATATGTAAACTGAAACTTAGAGAGATTAAGCAACTTGCTTAGGGCCACAGAGCTATGTGAAGTGCAATTTTCAAAAATGTAAATCACAATTCTCAGGAAAATATAAAATGATACCACGTCAAAGATTTTATTTAACTCAATAATTAATGAGAGAACCAATAGGAAGTTAAAACTTATTCAAGGAGCATTAGAGAATTTAGACACATGCAGGCAATTCAACAACAGAAAATAAGGCAAGTATGATAGGCTAAATTATGTTCCCTCTGAAAAAAAATCTATCCTGATCCCTGGAATTTGTGAATATGTTACTTATGTTACTTTACAAGTAGAAAGGATTTTCCAGATGTGATTAAATTATGGGTTTTGAGATGGGGAGATTACTCGGGATTATCTGAGTAGGTCCAATGTAATCACATACATTCTTATAAGAGGGAGACAGGAGTGTCAACTGAGACTGAAGATATAAGAACAAAAGCAGAGGTTGGAGTGATGTGCTTTGAAGATGGAGGAAGAGGCCATAAGCCAAGGAATGTAGGTTATCCCTAGAAGCTGGAAAAGACAAGAAAACAAATCCTTTTCTAGAGCCTCCAGAAGAAATGGGCTCTGCTTACACCTTGGTTTTAGCCCAGTGAAACTGATTTTGAACTTCTGGCATCTAGTACTGTAAGATAATACATTTGCATTATTTTTACACCCTAAGATGTGTTACATTGTTATATCAGCAGTAGAAATTTAATACCAAAGGATTACTGGGTGAGATAGAAAGCTAGTTAATGTCCAACAGGGCTATCAACTGTAAACCTTGAAGCTAATTCTTCCACCAGAGTTAAATTATTTGCATCTTCGTGGGACCAAAATTTACAAATAAACCTCTGCCCTTATGGAGATGAAATTTGACTAGTCAGTAGAAAGCCCAGCTCTGCACTGGCAAATCACTCAATAATCTCTTCTGCATGTTCCCAAGTTTAGAGTATTCTTTTGGATAGTTAGCAGGTCGAAGCGCTGAGATTTGAACCAGGCTCTTCTAAGTCCAGAATCTGTGCTCTTAATCACTAAGGAACATATTTTTTTTATTAGCATTATTTCATAGACTAGCAGGACAGTCAGCAGCAAAGAAAATTGTCCATGGAAACTGAGAACACAGCTTAAAGGTTGCCAGGTTTGGGCGTGGTGGCTTACACCTTTAATTACAGTGTTTTGGGAGGCTGAGGTGGGAGGATTGCTTGAGGCTAGGAGTTCAAGACCAGCCTGGGCAACAGGGTGAGACCCCCATCTTTACAACAACAACAACAAAAATAGCCAAGTGTGGTGGCGTGCGCTTGTGGTCCTAGGTACTCAGGAGGTGGAGGTGGGAGGATTTCGTGAACCCAAGTGTTCAAGGTTACAGTGAGCTATGATTGCACACTAGTGTGGGTGACAGAGCAAGACCCTGTCTCTAAGAGAAAAATCTAAAAAAAAGATTGCCAGTTTGATTCACCAAGTCCTTCATGGTGCTTCCCCCAAACAGAGGACCACAGCAAGAACCTTCTCCCTCCTTAACATGGAAATTCCTACACTAGCTCTCTGAAAACTTCGAGCCAAGCTTTTAATAGGTGGTTTAGATAGGCTCTTGGTTGGAGTTGGAGGCTGGGGTGAGAAGCTAAAATACACCTCCCGACAACAGTTCCCTTCCTTGCTCAAGAGCAAATGGCCTTGACAGTCCGTTCTTTAAAACTACGTTACTTGGTTAGACATCAAAACATCTTGCCTAGTAAATGCTTGAAAAAGGTTTGCATTGCATTTGGTTTGGTAGAAGTGCAAAATAGACTTTGGGAGTGAGGAAAAGTCAGGAGGGATAAATGAGTGAGTTGTATTGGGAACTAGCATGGCATTCTTAAGAGTCATATGGGCTGGGCGTAGTGGCTCATGCCTGTAATGCCAGCACTTTATGAAGCCGAGGTGGGCAAATCATGAGGTCAGGAGTTTGAGACCAGCCTGACCAACATAGTGAAACCCCATCTCTACTAAAAATACAAAAATTAGCCGGGCATGGTGGCAGGCACCTGTAATCCCAGCTACTCAGGAGGCTGAGGCAGGAGAATCGCTTGAACCCAGGAAGTGGAGGTTGCAGTGAGCCGAGATTGTGCCACTGCACTCTAGTCTGGGCGACATTGAAGCGTCCCACTGCAGTTGGGAACTTTTATTGGGAAGTGGGATCTGTAGTTGGACAGGTGGAATGTGGCTAGAGTCTTGAAGCAGGGCTAGGCAGTGTAGGTTTTACCTTATAGGGCAATCATTCTTGACGCTGAATGTTAGAATAAACTGGCAAGAGTTAAGAAATATGAATGCAAGCCTGTATTCATCTACTGAGGCTGCCATAACAAAGTACCATAGAATCAGTGACTTAAGCATTAATTTTCTCGCAATGCTGGAGGCTAGAGATCAAAGTGTTGGCAGTGTTGGTTTCTCCTGAGGCCTCTTTCCTTGGCTTGTAGATGGCTATCCTCTCTCTTTGTCTTCAGATGGTCTTTCCTTTGTTACTGTCCACGTCTGAATGTTCTTTTTTTTATAAGTCTTCGCCTATTGCCCTAATTCTTCCCATTAGGAACCTCACCAGCATCACATGACCCACCACCACCATCACAGGCCTTATCATCACCCCTGCCTTCTCTATCCCTGCAGTAGTCTAGGGATAGACACAGGGAGAGGACAGTCATCTTACCAGCCAAAGAAAGAAGCCTTAGAGAAACCAACACTGTCAACACTCTGATCTCTGGCCTCCAGGATTGTGACTGCTCCCGCCACAGTTATCACAGGGGCAACTATAATAGCAGCCACAGCAGCAGCGAGCCCCATGCCAATAGAGAGACATAGGCAGTTACACCCATTGTAGAACCGATCACTTAGACCAAGTTATTAATTTTGTACTGGAGGAAACTGAAGTCCAGAGAGGTCAACTGACTTATTCAAGGCTCTGGAGCTCTTAAATAGAAAACCAAGTCTTAAGATCCTATTATTTGGCCTCATGTTTTCTTTCTTTCTACTGGCCCACATGACTTCATCCTAGCCCATCAGCCCTGGAGACTGGGCTAGGGACAGCCCCACTATCTGAGTCTGCTTTTCCTTCCTATTGGGAGCAAACCATCATGAAAAGCAGCCCCATTAAACTCTGATTGTCTGTGTCTGGGCCCTGTGTTCCCCTTGTCAAGGTGTTGAAATGCTCTGGTTTAAGGGTAGGCAGGTTACTTCTTTTAATGTTTTTAGTTAGGACTTGGTCAGCAAACAGGGACAAATCTGATCAAATGTGGCATAAGAAAAATGCAAACTTGGCTCCTATAACAAGACCAAGGCAGCCCTGGCTTCAGGCACAGCAAGATTCAGGGCTCACATGATGCAATCACGTGTCTCTCCTTTCTGCTTGCTTTGCAATCTGTTGACTCCAGTCTCAGACTCCATTTGGTAGCAAGATGGAAGCTTCAGCTTCTGAATTCTCTGGTGCAGCAGGAAAGAGGTAGCCTGTTTCTCAATAACACAAACAAAAGTCATGGAATTAATTAATGCAAAAATATTTATTGAAGTTCTAGTATGCACCAGGCATTCTTCTACATGCTGGGGATACTGAAGTGGACAGAGAGAAGAGGTTTCTGTCATCATGGAGCTTACATGAGTCTTCCTGGGCTCTGACGTGACTGTTTTTGGCCATGTGTAATCTGTGAGCCATGTGTCCAGGAGTATGCGATGTGCTGGGTCATGTGTCCCACTTAAAGAATGCAAGCCTCAGGCCAGGCATGGTGGCTCACACCTGTAATCCCAGCACTTTGGGAAGCAGAGGTGGGCGGATTGCCTGAGGTCAGGAGTTTGAGACCAGTCTGGTCAACATGGTGAAACCCGTCTCTACTAAAAATACAAACATTAGCCAGGTGTGGTGTTGGGGGCCTGTGATCCCAGCTACTCAGGAGCCCGAGGCAGGAGAATTGCTTGAACTCAGGAGGCGGAGGTTGCGGTGAGCCAAAATCACACCACTGCACTTCAGCCTGGGCTTTCTCTCAAAAAGAGAAAGCAGGTCTCTTTTTGAGTGCCAGGACTATGTCATAGTTATGTTTGTGGTATGTCCACAAAATAAGCACATGAGAAGTGACATCAAATGGGTGAACAACTGAGTAAATAAACCACAGAGAGAGAAAAGTTCACGAAAGGCAAATGTGTAAAAACACATGAAAAGGGGACAAATCCAGGTAAACTGAACCATGAAATGCTGGCTCTCAGTTGCTAATCCAAAAAAGGACATAATATTCACTATAGATGACTTGCTAAAACTATGTGCCCAGTGTTTCATGTCAGGCCAAGAAAATCCTGCTCATTATTCAGAAAAACATTAGACACAAAATCTGAAGTTGCAGTTCATTTCAGAGTTGTCCCTGGGGGGTGTCAACAAACCGGGGTCACTCTGGTCCTCACACTTTGAGGAGCAAGTGAAAGAAGAAGTGGAGACAGCTCACAGCTGGCAGCTAGAATATGTCGATGTCATTATGTAAATGTCTGCCACCCTCAGCCCTACACGGTCTCTGTTGCAGCCTGCCGTGGGCACCTGGGAAATACTTCTCCCGTTGTCTGGTGTTCTTGGACATAGCCTCTTAGTTCCTTTGATGTTCTGCCCTTAATGTTCATTTTATGCAGCTCTCAACTGGTAAAAAAGTTTAAGGCAAGGAAAAAGTCTGGAAGAAAATTTATAGCTCCTAAATTTGTTAGCAAGTCAAAGAGCCTTTCATTGGTCCTAAATCCTAAAAGTGTGGTTCTGTATATATTGTATAAAGCCTATGTGGGTTGGCACTTGGAGGGATGTGTGCAATTTTAGTCATTACATTGCTTAAGGAAGGACCTATAAAGGACACATAGAA